TGAACAGCTGATTATTGCCTAATTTCTGAATGTTGTGGAAAACACGTTAATTTCAACCTAAACTGCGTGTACGTCATGCCACAGCTTACAGAGAGTCAGCGTCTCCGCGCCATGGGTATGCTGGAGACTGGAATGGCCCAACATGTAGTGGCCAGACACTTTGGTGCCCATCGATACACGATCTGATGGGGACATTTTCAACCCAATGGGAACACGAGAGATCATGCTTGGTTGAAATGGAGCGACGTTTACGTCAGGCCCAGGTCCAGCTCCCACCAAGTTCCTTCTAGAAAATCTTTATCTGTTTTTGCAAACTGTAACAGACATTGTAAACAAAAGCCTAGGAAGCGGATATTTTCCTCAGGGAATTCAAGAACTCTTATGTTAAGCCTTTACTTAAGAAACCTAATTTGGATAGTAGTGATTTGAAGAATTTCCGCCCGGTATCGAATCTCTCTTTTCTTTCAAAATTTGTGGAAAGGGCTGTCAGTCTCAGGTTGAATGCACACTTGGACAATCGTAACGTATTGGACAGACAATGTCATAGTACAGAAACAGCTTTAGTACAAGTTAGTGATGAGTTGAGACGGACTGTAGATGGAGGGTGACATAGCAGCATTGGTACTTTTAGACCTCTCCTCAGTATTTGATACCATAGACCATAGTATCCTTTTACATCTGCTGAAAACCCAGTACGTAATTGATGGCATAGTGCCGAACTGAATAAGCTCCTATCACTGTGACAGATGGCAGTGTGTAATGATAGGGAAAGATAGATCAGACAACATTACTCTCAAACATGGAGTACCACAGGGGTCTGTCTTGGGCCCGTTGCTGTTCCTGCTGTATACTGGTCATGTTGCCAACATCACATCAGTCCACAACATGTCGCATCATTCTTACGGAGATGACACCCAACTCCTCAACAAAATACCACTGCAAAATCTACGTCAGTCACTTCAAGAACTCACAAACTGCACAAGGGAAATCAAGTCCTGGATGACAACTCATATAAGCTGTTGTTCCTATAAGCTCATCTGTCAAAGATCTAGGCGTATATACTCAGCAGCAAAGAACACGTCAGTACGAATTCAAAATTAGATAGGCACTGTAATCAAATCATTACAGAAATGTACATAATAAGCGGATGGAAAACATTTTTTGTGTACAATATCTTGACACATCAGTGAATAACAGCATAATTTCAAGACATTACGTGAACGTTTGCACCTGGAACCACACTCTGAAAAAGGCCTGACGCAATAAATCGGCTGTGTTCGGCCTTGGTATGACATTATTCAGTCTCCTCTGAATTCCATCCCAAAGATGTTTAAATCAGGACTAAGGGCTGGCCACTGCATCATGTTGACACCGTTCTGCTGTAGGAAGTCGCGTGTAGCTCTGGCAGTAAGGGCCCGGGCGTTATCATGCCGGAAAATGTTGTTCTGGTGACGTGCGAAATGTGGTATGAGTGGGGTCTGTGAGCTTGGTCGATGGAGCGCACCGCTGTGATGCCGCCTCTTCTCCCTTGACCAAGGTTCTTGAACACCACAGGACACTCTCTCTGGTTCAGGCATATTCCATCCCTTACCATGATGTTTGCACCTTCCCATGAGTCTCTTTCCATAACGAACTGTAACGCTGGCCACGTCGTCGCCATATTCTTGTTCTGCCATCTGGAGTTGATAAGCAGTACCGACTCTCATCTGTAAACAGAACAGTTCTCCATTGCCTGTATCGCCAGTTTTGGTGTTGTAGGGCAAACTGCAGACGTTCACGCCGATGACGAGGGGTGAGGATAGGTCCACGGTAAGGTCTACGGCAATGGAGGTTCCCGCTGTTAAGACCTCCGCGTACTGTATCAGTACTGATTTGTCTTCCGTGTGTTCCTTCTGTCTTGCCTGCTGTTTCGGATGCCTGCATGAAGGGATTCTGTACATGCTGTCACACAATATGGCGGTTTTGTCGTCTTGTGGTCACCCTTGGTCTGCCAGTACGGGGACGATCATTTCTGGTGTTGGTGGACCGGAAACGTTGCTGCAGCCTGTAGATGGTCCGAACGTTGACCTGGAAGTGATTGGCAACAGCTTGTGCAGTGCGGCCAGCGTCAAGTCTTCCTAGCGCCTGGTTCCTTTGAGCTGTCGTAAGTCACGGCATCCTGCTGACGTTGTAATGTGAATGTTTCAACCAGGTTTTGGCCTGCATTTTATAGGGCTGGTCCTTGTGAACAGCACGTGCAGCATGAGTTGCAAGAAAAACATGGAGAACACCATACCATTTCGGAGATCAGGTTGCGTTTTTGAGACCATTTCCTGAATTCTTTTCTGAATTTGGAAAGGAATGTCTTTGCTCAGGTAACGTTGGAGATGTTGTAAAAAATATACAATCAAAACATTAAATGAGTTTACAGTTATCCGTTTCTGCGAAGGAAATTTCCAAACTGACGTTTCTTTTGCTGCTTATTATACCTTGATACATCACTGTCAATGGAAACACAGGTGAACAATATCTGTAAGACTTGCTATATTCATCTCCGCTCCATCAGCAACATTCGTCAATACGTTCCAGCTGAAGCCGCCCATGCCTTAGTCCGGGCGCTTATGATTTCAAGGCTCGACTACTGCAACAGCTTGCTGTTTGGGATCAGTCAGAGGCTATTGGATAAGTTACAGAAGGTACAGAACATGGCTGCACGTATCATCCGTCGGATTCCCAATCATGGCCACATCACACCTGTTCTTAAACAACACAACTGGCTCCCCATCAAGGCAAGAAGCGACTACAACATCCTCTGCTTGACCTACATGGCGCGTCACGGACTTGCTCCCCCATATCTCTCTGACCTTCTTACTCCTGACTGAAACAAACGCTGCCTTTGATCATTTAATCAAGAGCTTCTGCTTGTGCTAAACTTTAGGCTTAAAATTTTGGAAACCGGAATTTTTCATATGCAGCCCCAACCTGGTGGACTTCTCTCCCATACAATCTGAAACTTTTTGATAGTATTGCCATTCTAGTCAGGACTCAAAACATACCTGTTTTCAATGTATTATTAGGAACTCTATTTGGACGTGTACATATTGCTCTATAAATGACACACCCTTTAAATCTGTCATTGTTGCGCCTTGAGCATATCTGCTCACGTGGAAAAGGCGCACGAAGAAATCTGCAATATATATATCTGTGTGTGTGTCTGTGTGTGTGTCAGCGATTAAAGTTAGTTGAATTGGGACAAGTGTTGTTTCAGACATAGGACAACATCCCCCAAGCATTCTTCAATCGCTTTGTGTCGTGTATGCGTCGTCGTTGTCAATGCATTGGCATTAATGCCAATGGTGGACAGACACGATACTAAATTTTTAATTGACTTTTGGCACCACATCTCGTCAAGGTCGTGTAATGATGCCTTGTGCCAAATCAAACGATATAACCGTGATTAATGAAAACACTACAAAATATTTTATTATCATTATACATTACAGAATGGCATAACACCAAATAATGCATAGTTACTTTATTCCAGTAGTATATAAAGAAGATGTAGAACATCGTTTGGCTTTTTAGTCTGAGGCGGATCCAGGATTTTGGAGTAGCCCCCACCCCCTCCCATCTAGATCCGCCCCTGCTTGTACGGTCTCAAGTATATGATGTATTGATCATTGAGTGAAGTGTGAAAGCTAGTACACGGACCCATCAACATACTCTGCATTAATGTATGAATAGCCAACATGTCGCGGTAGAATTACCGCGTTTCACGTTCCTCTCACCACCTTGAGCGATACCGTGTCCTAGTATTGCGGACGTTATGGCTCACAAGCAAATGCTTGTGATTCAGAAGCTGAACCCGATTACGTTTTCAACTTATTGAAATGTTCATACTATATTACCTTCACTTAACTTCTCTCAGTGTGAACATGCAGTAACATATGTTTGGTCGATGACAAAATATTTGTCAAACTGGTGTACTGTTCTACCTTGCTATTATATTCACACTCATACGTGTTTTGCTCTCATGTGTTCTGGGTCATACAGTGAGAAGTTTACTTTTACGTCGCACTCAGCAATATTCGAGCTACCCAGCTTCACGTTGTCACAACGTTGTCGCAACTTTATGCTTGCGTCCTTACACCGCTATTCTGGGGACTCCCATTGACGTTGTTACAACGTTGTGACGTGACGTTGCACAGTGACGTGACATTAACGCCAGTAAGAATGGAAAGTGCGTTACTGTGATCTTAGTACATTTAAAGGATGGTAATCACAAAGTGTAATATAATAGGTACAAAAATTCACTGCGTTTTCTGCAGACATTACGAATAATTAGATGTCACTCTTGTGCTTACGATTTTCCTGAAAGTAACACTTCACGTTGCATCACCGTTTCAGAAAAGATGAAGCATTGTGTAGTAGTCGATACACAACGTGTTGACAACGTATACATATATATGATGTAACGTTGTGAAATAACGTTATAAGTAACGTTGTGACAACGTTGTGTCATGACGTTACCAACCTACAACCTTCCCACAACGATCTGTGTGTTAGCTGTGTATGTGGCGACGGTCTGTAAATAATCAAGTTTGGACCAGACAATCTAGTGATCAGCAACATGAGCATCGATCTACGAAATTGGGATACAATGACATGTGTCAACTAAGTCAACAAGCCTCACCACCCGATCCCGTTAGTCGTCTCTTACGACAAACTTGGATTACTGAAGATCAGTTCTTACCCGGATCTCAACGGTTGTGGGCCATGCAAAAGAGTTTCGAAACACCTAGGACGACAATTACGAGTGCAATATCATATTGTATGTTTAATACTTGCAACGAGAATGAATGACCTTCCGATGAACATTTCAAAATCACTCCAATTCACACTTGTATGTCCGTGTGTATATGTTCGTGTATATATCTGTATGTGTTAAAGTATATACGTATATACATGTATGCATTGCATATTTATAATATAAAATAAAATAAAAAACCAATGCCAGAGGATAACATACTCAAAATTTATAGATTTATATCGTCGGGTGATTTAGTTGACAAAAGGAACTCAAAAGTGTCTGATCACTAACAAATGCATAATATCGACAAACCCCTAACACATCGGTGTGAACTATCCGGATAACACGAGTAGTAAACTAATTTCCGAACCAATATCTGAGATTTAGGTATTAAAGCGAAGGATTAAGCATACGCCCCCTCACTGAACCACCTTTACAGCCAGATATGTACAATTCATAGGGCGCCACAGATCACAATGAATGCATGAGAAATTTCTATACTGAACAAACTAATCCCATTGTCGAATGAACATCAAAGTTACATAAACACGTTTAACGGTGAACGCGTTTTAAAAAACAAAGGCGATAGCATACTAAAATCCAAGAAGAAAAAGCTAGAGAAGAAAATTTACAAATTATAATCATGAAGGGTACTGAAAGCCCCACAAATGACGGTCGTCCAACGGCCGATCACCAAACAGAGATGACTGATTTCTGCAAGAATACGGTTTAAAAACTACGTTAACGCATCGCGTACTTTCAAAGTGATATATGTATCGGTATTTGAGTAATTAAGTATCTTCCATTGCTACTTTAGGTGTTATCTTCAGTTGGTGATATATACGTGACTACAGTCCTCGGACCATCAACAAACACATCCCTCATTAAGCGGGTGTATGACTTGGACCCACTCGCTGAACTAGGTGACGTGTCGACACCATTGTTGTCTTCTGCGTCCTGGGACCCGGGAAAGTAATCCGCCAACACAGGTAGTACAGGAATACCATCATCATATTCACTGTCATGTGGCCCAGGAAAGTAGCCGGCCAAAGCAGGAAGTGCAGGGTCACTGTTGTATTCTTCCTCTACCGGTCCTTTTTGCTGCCCTTGCCGCTGAGATACTTCCTCGTAATCTTCTTCCTCTACCGGTCGTTCTTGCTGCCCTTGCTGCTGAGAGACTTCATCGTAATCTTCTTCTTCTACCAGTCCTTCTTGCTGCCCTTTCTGCTGAGATACTTCATCATAATCATCTATATCCCTGTACCGATGCACTGGGTAGTACGCTCCTGTTTCCAGTTGCCCTGATCTCTCTGTATGTATCGACTCATTTCTTTGGTGATCCCTGAAAATATACAAATGAGTACTCTTAGTACTGCAACATTGATCACTAATAAAAGGTATCACTCAGGTTGTTTGAAAATAGTGTTTACATTCAGAAATAAATATGTTTTGGAAATTGTGGTATTGCATACGTTTTTGTGCAAACTCCAGTCTGATTCATAATCCCAACAGATTTGTCAGGTATACAAGTAACATTTTGTATGTAAGTTGCTTTCATCATTATCATATTGATAATACCATGAGATACAATGACAGATTACGATCATAGTTCCAGGGTGCACATGAATTTGTCTAAGGAATGCTAAATAAGAAATCTTATTCTACGAACTAACATTAATGTGATAAATTTAACATACTGTTTTTAGAATATATAGTTTAAATACCAACCTTTCGGTAGTTTGGCGGCGACGACGAAAATGAAACACAAATATACAAACTATACCAACTATAAGAAGTACACATCCTGTCGATAGTCCTAGTCCAATAACATGCACGGTGCTTCCTGAAAAATATTAATTATAACGTAATTGTTGTAGCAGGCTGTGGAATCATTCAAATTCAGACCCAGCATGGGGTGAGGTCTGTAACGTATTTTCGAACAAATTATTCCTGAACAAGTACTGTCTATTCAGTATCATTAATACTGATATACGGCCAAATACTAATAACTTAAGAAAATAGGGACATTGCTGCGTTTTAGTCGTTGACCTAATTAAACCTTTACCTTGAATACATATCCCAGTACTAGGATGACAAGCACCTCCCATACAGTTTATGCAAGGGAGTTGACAGGATTCTCCATATTGTCCTTTGGTACATCCATTGTCACAAGATCCGTTGTTTGGGTAGCAGGTGTAATTAAAACAGGTCCTTGGACAAGGCTTACAGTCAGCTCCATAGTAACCAGACATGCATCCTTCAACACAGGCACCAGTCTCATTGCAACTCAAACAGTTTGTGTTACATTTAATTGGCGAGGAACAGCGTGGGCCAGACCAGTCATCTGCACAACCATTGATACACTCGCCACTATATCTTTGACATTCAGATATGCACGAGGTGGAACTATTACTTGTCAAAGTGCTGCTGTTTCCAGGGGTAAGCTTGGCAGTGTTGGCTGCATCTCTTGGAACATGTACTTCCATACAACCCAGGTGCGCATGTTTGTACACAATCAGTTGTTGAACAATGTTCACATGAGTATTCACAGTCCAGGCCATGATATGGATGATGACACTTAACACATCTGCCAGTTATCCTGTTACATTGTCGACATCTGGGTGAACAATTCTTGCAGTTGGACCCATAGTATTGGTCTTGACATCCAGAAACACAAGATAATGCCAGATGGCAGAACGTTCCATCACATCCTTGAGGACATTTTGTGCATCTGTTCTTCTGAAGTGTGCACGGGACATTGCATCGAGAACCATAGAAACCAGGTACACAACCTTCAGAGCAACTATAAGTGCCCTTCAGTGTCTGACCACATTTACTGTTTATGCATTGTTTGCTGCAACGGGACTTGCATTTTAGGCCAAAATACCCCGAAAAGCAATCTGTACTGCAGTATTGTGTTGACCTTGCGCAGTTAGAGCACTGTTGGTCCTCCTTGCACTTATGTGCTGTAAAAGAAGACAGGTTTATTGTATAAATTAATTTCGTATGTTTGACCATACTTTCGAATAGTAAATACAATTTTAGATAAATGTTCATATCTATTACTGTTTTATACCCCAGCGCTCGAGGTTATCTCTAATATCATACATACCCATTAAAACTCTAACACAGATTCCCAATTCAGTTCTGTTACTCGAGCAAAAGGGCTGGTCCTCCTGTCGAGATTGTTATTCTAATGGCGGCAGTAGGTTTCTACCTGAACTTCAACATTGACGACCGTTAAGTCTACAAGAACGACAAATCTGTAAACCTATGACATCCCAAGAACTATACTCAGCTAATATTTTTCAGAACAACTAACACACTTGAAGTAAGTGACTATCGCTTTGGACAAAATATGACGTGGGATAAAATGTTAAGAAATACGAACATTCTTAGTAAATACTGGATCAGGAAATAATTTTTCAGTCAGGAAAGACAACAGTCACGTGCACAAACATCGCCTGTTAAACAAGTGGATTGCATTGCTACCAAAAGAATGTTATTCACTGGAACCACAAAATGACTTCCGGCTTTACTGCAAATGTCAATATTTTTGTTAATCTGAAGCAAAATATCAAATGAACATACACGTTACCTTGTGTTGACAGAAGCGTCAGCGCTACACTCAGTATAACCTGAATATCCATCGATGTCCTGAAATCAACATAATACAGCATTTAATCTGATTTCAATTATCAGATAAATGAAAATGTCATTAATGGGTGAGTGATGGGTATTGTTCAAATACAAACGTACTTGTCCACTGAGATAAGCTTCAGCTCTGTGGGCAAATGGGAGATGTAACGACAGTCGAACTGAAGTTTCTGGTGTTGCTTGCAACACTAAGCTGGGGAACGACTACATGAACGTCATGGTTTCAGTGTGGTTTCAACTTCCAAGGTCGGAAAATACAGCCAATAAGTGACTCATGCATGCTAATACAAACGGTTGTGTAATGATGACATTGATATCACGGACATGCTCTCTACATGCGATCCAAGATGCACTGATACTCGTGCGGCACATTACATCGCAGATTCTGGAAGTATTTCACAGTGGTTTTGAGTAGCATAATTGTATAAAGGTGTATGTAACCCAGTCGTCAGAGGAAAACCTGATTTACATTTTTATAGTAGAGTTTCGTTTCCGTTAAATATGAGAAAACTAATTGAACATAAGCTATTATCAGAAGTGCTGATGAGGATAATCTAATATATAAACATGTGCGTTAAATTCAAATTTGTGAAGTCAGGTTTAACAGTATCCCTATATCTATGACATGTCCGCTTGATGGGTGACGAAAGCTCGAGGTGACGCAGGTCTCGGGTGTTTACATCTGCACTGATCCCTCGAGGACGGGACATGCTGCAGACAAACGTAGAAACTATCAGAGTGAATCGAGACTGTACACCAAACGTCACCGTGTTCTTTAATCCGATTGGTTAAAAAAAGCCATGATCGAATGGTTTCGATTCCCGGAAATTGCAAGACTATTCACTGCGTGTTGATACGTACAAACATCGCACACAATTGTATAGTTGCGTCGTCAGCAGTGGTGACGTCATTCAAATCATATTGTGACGTAAATTCTGAATGTCGTCACAGTTAAGCAGTTCCAGATGCTACCATGGGAACCAGCGGAAACGGCCAGCGGATGACACTTCACTGCTGTACCCCTACTCGATGTCAATGAGTGCATACAGTAAAACCCTTCTGGGCCTTTTGGTTTACTTTTGTGTTTACAGTGTCGATACCACCGTCGGTTACAAATGATTTCCCGTGCATTAAAGACTCAATAACACCCGGAAATTGGCCAACACATGATGTTTATCTTCTAATTCGAACACTCAATCCTACATTCCTAGAATGCAACATCGATCCCAGACATTTGGAAATCAGATCTGGCCATGTTGATGTATGCTTTGTCTCACATCTTTTCTGTATCTTTATTCTGTGAAGAGTTTAAGGGTCAGCCGCCATATAGCTGGAATATTGTTGAGTGCGGGATTAAGCAACAACAACAACAAAATGGTAGTCTTTTGAAGATCCTCACCATTATGTTGCATGTGAACTTTCATGCAGCTGTAGGAGTTTAGGTGAGCACATTTTCTTGTTACATCATTATAACCAAAGTTATCCACAACATAATTTTCTTGCTTTTTTATAATGAGCGACTGCCTGCTCTGTTGTGTCCTTCCTTTTGCAAGATGCCTGGTCTCGTACTGTCGGGGACACTTTTATCGCGGGTTTAGCATCCAGTATTGCTGAGAGCAGGTTAGGTTTTCGCTTCTCTGCTTCTCTTGTTGTATACGGGTTTAGTATCCAGTATTGCTGAGAGCAGGTTATGTTTTCGCTTCTCTGATTCTTCTCTTGTTGTATACGGGTGTTGGAAATTACGTAGTTGGTGGCAATCTTTATATGTAAAGAAATAACTATCAAATTTAGATCACTAACGCTGTTGTGAAGTTGTCCATCAAGAGCTCAGTAAAATAATAGTAACGACGCAGAGATTCCAAACCTGGGCTGTCGACTGTTGGTACCAAAAAGCATGACTGTGACGACTCAGTTAATGCGACCTGCATGTGGCGGTCATCGTAGAGGTACACGTCTAGGTCCTAAATCAATACACTATAATGTGGCGGTCATCGTAGAGGTACACGTCTAGGTCCTAAATCAATACACTATAATGTGTACAAGAACGTAGGGGACATTAGGAATTATCAGTCTTTATCTTCGTCATCGTCTGGTCCAAACAGATGACATGTGGCCATATCTGCTTGTACGTAGCCTATCAGAGAGCAATTTCGAACTGTTTTGTTTTTTAGCGTGCAACACCACTAGACCAGATGTACAGTCAGGCCTCGTTAATACGAACACTCTTTGGTTTCTTTAAAAAAACGTTCGGATAGTGAAACGTTCGTACTGCTGAAACCACAGTATATGCACCGAGTTACTTTCCCTTGATATCAAAGAAAACAAAACAAAACATCAAAGACAAAGCTGGAGGCAAACCCTCTCGTGGGTCGATCCGTATTGTTTGACGCATCAAGCACAGCAGTACCAAGTGTTGTGGGTACGTTTGGACGTTGACATTCGTCATGAGTCGGCCCATGTTCTTCCGCGCATCAGTGTCCACCAGTACCGCACGCCCCAGATGTGTTCAAAAAGGAGTGCTAGGGGGGCAATGCTGGCTATGGCATGGCAGGGATGTTTCGTTTTTGGAGGAACAAGGTCACAATCCCAGCATGCCAGCATTATCATCATGAAAGATGAAACAATGAATAATGCCAACATGAGACTCTACCATGAGTAATATGGAGTGCAGTACCCCTGGCCACCATCAATCCTCTCAGTCACATGCGGTATTCGTCACTTGCCCCAGCCCTCGAAATTAGCAGATGAAATAAGCAAAGTATCCCAACAGTGCACAGTGGAACCCTACCTAGCCACACCGACATGCCACAAAAAAGTAACTTTCTATTATAAATAAAGTCCAAATATTATTGAATGTATTAAACAAACTAAACTACATACATACATACACACACACACACACACACACACACACACACACACACACACACACACACACACACACACACACACACACACACACACACACACACACACACACACACATACATACATACATACATACATACATACATACATACATACATACATACATACCCGCACACAAAATCACTCACTCCTCCATCCAACTCACTCACTCAATCACTCACTCACTCAATCACTCACTCACTCACTCACTCATCCCAACAGCACACGCGTACAGCATTACCCGGAGGGTGAGTTTCATATTCCCCATACTGGACGTGGTGTTTCGTCGTATTGCGGATACCTTACTCATGGACGATCCATCAGTTAGTCATCTCTGGTGAAGTTGCAGATGATAGGTCCATACACGACAAAACTATCAAAGTCCATTTAGCAAAGTGAACAAAGCAATGATCATCGTCAAAGAGAACATAGGTGATGCTGTGTTTCCGTACATAGCCAGAAATACTGAATGGTGTTTCACAAACATGTTTCGGATAAATGTATATTTGCACATTGGACACAAGCCATGTGCTCTAACTCTCTCATTGTACAACTGTTAATCTACATGTACAACTGTTTGTATACATGTACAGCTGTTTGTATACATGCACAGCTCTTCGCCTTCTAATACAGACTCGGGTGCCATGGAGCTAACGCCTGATTATGTAAATATAAGTGTATGCCGTTCACACAATAGTATGTAAACATTATTAATGCCACCACGTGTTTCATTCAGATAAAACTTTCTGTCCAGGACAATAATACCCATAACAATATAACAAACTCATAGTAGCTTTCTCCTGGCTATACTATCTGCCCTTGGTGCCGTGCAGCGTGTGGCTTTACATCTGAAAGTACTAGTAACTGAATATTTCAATATGTATTGAGCAGGGAAAGCAATTCTAGACACAGACATTTTTCACCCCACACGGAAATTGAAGCTTTTGCTAGCTGAAGCACACACAATACTCCATTGCTATTATATTCGTTTTTATTTCCTGAAATAACAACATGCATTTAAGAATCGAAACTAGGTTTACATTTGCACTTCAATTAAATTGAAATGTGTAATCAGAGTTGAATGCATCTTTTTCTTTTCGAGGATTAATTTCAAATAGGGACAGAGTACATGTTTACAGTAGTGATGAAAACCTGTTTTGAGGTTGACAAGAGAAGATTTGTTTCCGGCTTTCTCATATTAAATATAATGCATCGCAGCCTGTCCCAATTCACAGTGACACGGCAGACGCGTAGTTTACAATGTCGAAAATGTCGATAACACCCGCAGCAGCTCTTTGTCCATAGCTATACAGTGGTGACTGAATATCCATATTTATGAATGTCAGTTGCCGTGTGTGTTCTCCACAGTTCTCTGCTTTATCGACTCAGTGGTTATGTCACCACAACCTTGACATGAGGCGTTGACGCGTGACGAGTGGAGCAGGCTTAGAATGTTGTTTACAGAAAGGTGATGGGTAACTTACTGTCTAACTATTATGTTAGATCTTTACGCATTCAAAATCAATCGAATAGATTCGAACTAATACCTATATTGATTTGTCCTCACACAGAATTATTCAACCGTTGCGCAGACATAATGTCCATGTATGTCGTGTTGAACATAATGTTGGTCTGTGTACCTCAGTGGTGATTGTACTGAACTATGACACTACTATGGACTGTAGAACTTTAATCAACGTCATGTCCATGTATGTCGTGTTGAACATAATGTTAGTCTGTGTACCTCAATTGTGATTGTGCTGAACTATGACACTACTATAAACTGTAGAACTACTATGTTACGGCGTTGTCGAGTTTAACAGAAACTAAGTGGGAATCTCGCAGTGGGAGAGCTACGTGCTGGAGTAAGAATATACCCCTGTTTTTAATACCTAAACTGGTATACATTTTCTGGACAAAGAGTTGTCACATTCAAGGCTGAGGCACTTCTTCTGATGGGAACATGTACAATAGTCCTGAAGGTGCCTCCATATGACAAATAAGCTATTGTAGGCGAAACGTCAAAAGTATGGTATATTTGCTATGACATACAGACGATCAGTACCAGAGTGTACGGGTTTCTACAAACTGCTGTCTTCATTCGCTCTTTGTTGAAGAGCTTTTAACGACATACTCTTTGTGCACACGTCACATTTCACCCACACACAGTCCTCTACACTAGAACCTTGCTATTCTCTTCTCACTGTTTACAAAATACATTTCATCCACACACAGTCCTACACACTAGAACCTTGCTCTCTTCTCACTGTTATTAAGTTAC